ATACAACGTTCCGAGTGTCAGGCCGAAAGGACAAGATTGAGGTTCGGCGCCAATCCGTAACAATTTGAGCTAGTACGTTGTCTGGGATGGACTGTAGCTCCCAGGTGTCAAGGCCTCTCAGTGGCGAGGGGAACTCGTCATCGAGGCCTCTGGTCTACGGGAGTCAGTTATTGGCGAGAACCTGAATGAATACGTGGTTAGGAGACTCACATCGCAGAATCTTAACACATTTTAGTCCTGGCCGTAGCCGGGTCTGGGGAGCCAACGCGGCTTTGCCATGACTGCTGGGCAATGAAGGACGCCCTTTTCCTGATAACTCAAGTTATGTGGGAGCTTGATATCCAATGGCGGAAGCCATTCATCCATATAATCTGGCCTTGGCTTACGTGTAGGCTTGTAGTTCGGAGGAGGCAGGCTGCTTGTACGGCGTAGAGGCAGGAACGGACCTGAATTCTTGGGACGAGGATGAGGGTAAGCCACGGGTTCGAATGCACCAGGACCTAGAGAGGCCGGGAATTTTGGCCTCTTTTGTCCGACATTATCGATTCTTGGAACGGATTGACGGTGTCCTGTTTATGAGAATGATGCTTTGAATCCTATTGGCAGCAAGTTCAGCGGAATATGAGAAGCTAACCGTGATTTGAATAATATCTCAATGTGTTGGTATAGAGGAAGAAGCAGATTGACATCCAGATGAGGTAACGTTGACATTGGTAAGAATAGAATCTTCTTCTCTGAACTTTGCGTGAAAGTTACAACGAGCATTTGCTCGTCATGGTTTACCTACCCCTCTCGACTTGCCTCAAATTTCAACATTTTGGCTCGTCGGATGTTGGGCGACGGTCTGACCTGCCTAACTTATTCACTTAATTTACGTCAACTGTGAGACTCATGGAAGTTCCACCTCGAAATAGGCAATGGGCTATATGCTACAAGTTCAGTGGAAACAGCATACAGACAACGCCAAGCTGCTGGGTTCGTCCTTCTGCACGTATATTTACACATTGCCCCTGGTTACCTTCGAGAGCGTTGAGTTGGCATTAGGGTCGAGCGTGAACGTCGGGAGCCGGTCAGCGGTTTCTGTCAAGGGCATCCGTACTTGTAATATTTCCGATGAGGAAAGGGAGCTCTGCAAACAATTTCCTTGTAGCATGTCTAATGCGCTACTATTTGAGTAATTGATGCGAAGGCGCAGCTCGAAGTTTCATGAATCTATGAAGTAGAAGCCGCGATAAAGAAACAAGGACGAGGTTCAGGTCTATACATTGATCGCATGTTGGCTTCAATGTTGATCTTCGTATCTCAGATTATATAAGCTGGTACGTACCCCAAAATCATAGGTATGAAAATTGCCCGACCGCATTCCGGGCTCGTAATGGCCGGTTTCAAGCTTTTCCGGGCCGAATGTTTCCCGTTTCCAAGTTCAGCACGGGTGGGGGTTATCTCAGCCGAATAAGGTTAGCCTGTCCACTGTTTGTTTCTTTTTTCTACTCTTCTCGAAACATTCCAGCATGGCATCAGCGTGGCAGCCTGTGGTAACAGAAAATGGCACAGTCTTGGCATTCCACCTCCTCTCGAAACATCATTTATTATATTTCATAACTAATTGAAAAAAAATCGTAAAAAATACGAAAAAATTATATATTAATTCTACGGCCTTTATTATCCCTTATATTAATTTAACACTGTATAAAATTCGAGGAATGTAATTATATCGCGTATTTTAACTTTATAAAAAGTTACGAAAGATATTATATTAAAAGGCACCTTCGTATTAAGCACGACGCATAACGTAAAAAAATCAATAAAAATAAGAAGTAACTAGATTAGCTCTCTACGATCAATTTGATATAAATTATAATTGATTAGCTGTTGTCGTCGTTGTTATTTAGGTTGTTGTATTCGAAAGAGTTAAGGTGGGTTTAGTAGATAAAGTGCCATTTTCTGTCACTTCTTACTGCGTGGCTGTTCAGTTGACGCCATTGCTTTTTCTTACGAGGTTCGGTAGTGCCGCTGCGAAAGGCTATTCCCCCTAGCATCAAATCGCCGGCTCCTCGTATCTTATTACGGGATTACGGAGCGGTTCTTTGTTTCTTCGCTAACTAAATGCATGGTGCACTTCTGGTGAGCTTGGCAAAGCCGCCGCCTGGGTTTTCACGAGATGGCCCAATCGCAACCATCCGCTTCTTCTGCCCTATTGTTTTCTTCACACTGCCATTGGCATGTAAATGACGATTCAGTCAGCCTTGACTATGACTGTCTGACAGGCTTGACCACCAAAGATGATGGTCGCCATGTTGCGCGGTCTCAGTCACATTTCGTCCTGTTCCCTAGTAATGATATCACAGCCTCAAGCCCTTGGATGACCAGCTTGTCAGCCCCATCACCCTGAGTGTATTATTTGTTGCGATGGCCACATTTTACTTACTATGTGCGGTAAGGAGGTAATCGACCATTCAGCTCACAAGGGCTGACTCTCCTGTGGCGTGGATAGGGCAAACGAGCTGCAGCATACATATACGTATTGTACCTCCGAGTCCTGACACCACTCTCGTCTTAGCGGTATCCATCCGTTGATTTCTTATATGATACAAGGCCGCTCCCCATCTCTTCTAACCAAGTGGTTTAATTTGATCCTCCTCTCTTGCAATTTATGCGGTTTGGTGTCTATTCGTTACATATCTTATTAGAAGACCAACAAGAAGGATTCTGTCAACTACAAAAGTTACATTAATCCTTCCAACTCATTCTTTAAATAAAACCAACTCGCCGCATTCCAGTTTCTCTCCCTTCGTTTGGATATTTCTCGACTCCACCAAGAGGAACTACCGACGATGCAACTCAATCTACTATTACCAGTCGTTACAGTCTTCTCACTATTAGGCGTCCTGGTTCAGGCGTCTCCCATCCGCTGTCCAGACGTATGTCTACTCCGTACTTCGTTCATCAAACGATGACGAGGAACCTAAACTAACACACGTTTAGTCCAAACGGGATTTGATTCTCAACGGAGCGATGCCGGCCGAAGAATGCTGTAGCTACGGAGTCTGCAAGAATACTGTCGTTATCGCTATGGCACGGGCGCAAGAGAACCAGAGCTCAGCAGTCATGTACAACACAAAGCGGTGATGATACGAGAGTGGTGCCTTCTCCACTAGAGAAGACTCATCATGATCACAACATCCAGCATGATATCGGCGTTTTTTTTTCTACATACATAATGGTTCTAGCATATTACGATAGGCAACTGGCGTCCGGTGTGGGGCATTTGCGCCCGAAAATCTGGTGAGACTTTTATCAGTATCCAATCAAGACTTTCATCTGGCCGATTGAGATTGGATGAGGGCAGGAATATCTGCATTGCATACGGCAGAACTTATGGCGTTACATCGATATGGATATCGACCAAGACGACGTTACATACCGTCTTTCGAGAAGAATACCCCCCAACAAAGTTGGAAAATTGTTGCTGAGTTATATTTTTGGTAGCGAGGTCATCAACACGACTACGAGGCTGAAATTCCTCCTTAATTGAACTTACCTGATCTAGAATTTAGTGGGCGCTATGAAGCGATTACGAGATTGTGAGGACACTGGAGTAGTGAGATGTCGCCGGGGCAACTTGTAGTGACTGCCGCTGTCAATTCGGCCGAGTGCAAGCGAGATATAGCGTGGGACATTTTCTCGTATCTGCATTGACAGCAGATGCGGCTGTCTGATAATGCAAGCTACAGCTTACATCACGCCTTATAATCATAACTATAGTTTATCGTCAACATTTTAGTCGAGCCATATTCCGTCCAGGGTGCCAGCCACCAATAGCCGTTATGACGAGCGGGCTTTCTGGTACCACGTGTGGTTGCGTTTGGATTTCCATTTGCTTTGACATTCTCACTATCGATTCACGACACCTTGTCGGTGATTTCGCGGTTATTGAATGGGGCTCGCCGGTTGTTCTAACTAATTGCGATATAATCTTAGCGAAACGGTCTAACATGGATATTGACTTGGGTCAGGTGTCAGATACGGCTCTAATGGTTCGTAGCAGTTCATTACAAGCTATCGCAAGCTTATTCTCGCTCGTGTAGACATTCCCAGCCTCCAATTGAAATATCTCGAGCTCCACTGCGTATAAAAGCCGCACGGCGCTTCTTCAACTCGTATCTTCACTTAGAATACGTCGGGTGTTGTTATGTCATAGACGCAAGCGAGTTTGACAATGGAAACATAACCCTGCCGCCACATCGTTCGATACGTGGTAGGTAGAGTTAGTTCCTTCATGTAGCATTACCATCACGAAGTCTTCTCTGGCTCGTTGCTTGTTCTCCCTTACTTTCGCGATGGATTGTGTTGGCCGTGCCTGAAGATCATCTGTTGGTTAACTCTCAAGGAGGATCGAGGGAAGGTCTATTTAATCGAAACTCCCATTCCCGAAGGAATCGGACCGCAAATTTTTCTCATAGATCGGGTGTCGAAAGTAGATTAATACTATGTATGTAGTAGATAGCTAGACGGCATGGCGTAAGGCTCCTGCTCTCACGATACGTGTTTTTTTCCAGACGAGTACGCTGTTGGTAAGTAAGATCTAGTATGGAATTGACACCATCCTGGCGGTGATAGACCGGTGAATGATCCCTTCTGATACCACTTGCCAAATGGGAGTTGCGGATGGACGAACCAATCCTAAACAGTGTTATAATCTATGGTCTATCATAATTATATGATATCGCCTTGTGGATACATCTTGAGTCTCTTAGCTCGGCTAATCCAGTGTAATATAGAACTGAGTGGGCCTGTATGCTAAACCTCTATCTGCATTTTATACTACACTAGTGTACACTAACTCAAACACGGTCTCTTAGCCCAGGACACGGGCCCCTCGGCGATCTCCACCTTACAAATTACGCCTCCTCACCGGCACATTAAGCATATATTCTGCAAAAAACGCAGTACTTTCAACCAATCACATCGATCATGATTCCACACCATGATCAGAACACGGGCTTGTGGTTTAGTGGTATAATACTCCCTTAGCACGTGCTCGAGTAAAATGCTGCCATGTCCGTTGGCTGGCAACTTGAAAGCGTCTAAAAAATGGGAGTGGTCCGGGGTTCGATTCCCCGCGAGTCCAGCATTAGGAGGTTAGATTCCTCTTGTACCGCATTTTTTTGTTGATTTTTTCCCCCTCCGTTTTATCGGATACTGCTCTTCTAGTGAAGCATCAAGTCTCCAGTATCAGGTAGCTGAGCAAGCATCAGACTTTTTACCGTTTCAAAATCCCGCCCGTATCTAGATTGGGACCGACTCAAACCTCGGGTATCAGTTCTCTCTCTGCCCAATTCCAGTCAGTGCTGTCTTGCCCAAGGGGCAGACGAATAAAAACGTAACAATATGTAACGGAACACGACCTCGTCAATTCTTCTATCCAGACCTCTTCCCAGTCTTATCTCGACTATTTACACTAGTCTTTCATATATACTGTCGCTCTCTCAAAGCGACATATACCAAAACAACGCAAGCCACCCATCATAACTTCGTCCATATGTACTTGTTTGTATAAATCGCTCTCCAACTAGACAGGTATCTCTCACAGCACAATCAGATTGCTTATCTTCAACCCCTGGCTTTCAACATGGTATCTCCTCCTCAGTCCCAAACTCCTCGTCGTCTTCAACAACTCATACGCCTCCTTGCCTCCGCCGGTCATCAACATAGCGATGGGACGATGCCTAAGCATCCCAGCGGGTGTCTTCTGCGGCTCGTCGAGTAACGGCCTGATGAAATTAAAGCCGTATAGGTCTTCCTCCCCTTCCTCGTCGTCGTGCTCCAGGGCGTCCTTGTCGTCCGACACCACGATAACGAGTTGTAGCGCGTTCCGGCCCGGTGCGAACGATGGTATGTTCGCAAGTTTCTCCGAGAACGAACATCCGCCTCGGCGCATCACGATTACTTGATGCGATCGTGGCGCCGCGTCGGGTAGCTTTCCTTCGCAGGCCTGGCCCGCGAAGAAGATGCGCTGCCAAGATAGCGAGTCGGCAATGACGTTGGTGTGCGGGTTAGGCGCTTCGCGGACGTCGGGTAAGGGAGCAGCACCCACTCCGACGGGAGTGACGGCAGGCAGCTCTACGAACCTGTATTTTGGTGGGGGCACTGGCTCGGGGCCGAAAGTAGCAGCGGGCTCCCGCAGAACGGAGGTTATCTGTTGCAGAAACGAACTGAACAAGTTTTGAGTGCCGACGGCAGACTCAACATCGAGCTCGATGGTGGTGCCGCTCTCGGGGGAAGGCTCAGGGTTAGATGTCGAATTATGTTCCAGTGGCTCTTGGGGGATCTCAATTTGTAAGAGTAGGTCGACGAGGACAGAGTCGCGAACACGGTGGAACAATGGGTCCGACATGTCCTCAAGGACATCACGAGTGATGAAGACCTTTTCATCACGGCCTAGTGGTATGCTTCCAATGCTGTAGACTCTCCAAGCTCGTTCGGATGTTTCTGGGGGTTCTTCCATGAGCAGGGCTAGCTTCAGGCCAGAGAGACTATTAATCGCAATGCCTTCGCTTCCCATGCGAACGAGGTTATGGCCGCCGAACATGAGGTTGAAAGCGCTGCCCACGGACTGTTGGGTATTGGAAGGGAATTCAATTACCGAAGTCTGAGCCTGTTTCGTCACGGCGCAGATACCGTCGATTGGGAGCATGGCACGAGGTAATGTCCAGGGAAAATAGGTGTAGTTCTCTCTTGGTTTTTCAGATTGCTTCGTCTGCGCTTCAGAGCCGCCAAGCTTCGCGACTGTATCCTCTGAGCCGCTGTGTATGTTGGGAATTTGATGAAGCCGGATTAAAGTGGCCGCGTTGTAAAGATCCGGTCTCGCCGCAGTGGCAGAGCCGGATAATGGGGGTAGATCAGGCGGCCGAGGACACGTAGTAGTGAAATGGGTATCGGAGTATGGCTGAATAGCGGTTTCTGCTGTCTGCTTGCGCGCTGGACGATGGGATTTCTTTCGAGGAATAATCAATGGATGTCCTTCTGTAGTAAATACGTACGAAGCATCAAGCTTATTTAAGGGGTGATCTGGATCAAATAGGAGATACAGGTACTTGGCGGTCTCTCCTAGGAAGAAACTTTCCATTCGGTCGCTCTTCTCTCCTGTACGTACGTCCTGCAAGCCAGACCAGCCGCATTTTGTCCAGCATCGTCTGTAAATATCTTTCAGAACCATTTCACCGGCATAGAGATACCATGGGTCCCGAGTAGCCCGGTACAAGTGGTAAGTGGATTCAATAAATTCGGGGCGACCGGGCCACCATCCAAGACCACCTTCGACATTCCCATCGCGAACAGACCATCTCTCTGGAAGAGCAGAGTACCGAGTCCAGAGAGCTGTATAGACAAGATGCGTCTCAATGGCCTCATCCAACTCTCCAGCGAGCGCCAATAAACCGGAATAATATGCGCCTAGACTGTCGATCCAGTATGCCTGAGGCGAACCAGTAGACATGTGCGCATTAACGTAGTGCGGGTGATGTAGACCGGAGTAGAGATGACGCTTGATGGCGGCATGAGCATGATGCCAGGCCTGCAGAAAAGAATCGGGAGAGTTGTCCTCGTCCGAAAGTGGACGATAGATCTGATTAGGGTCTAGCCAATTCCCATCATGATGCATCTGAGGCATCGTCCGATTGGGTAGCTCCTGACCTGACAGCAGGATATGAGTCTTGAGAGCATATTCGAAGAAGCTGTCAATGCCCGCACCGATCCCAGAGAAACCTCCTATCCAGTGTCCTTCTTCGGCATCGACACCAGCCCCAATAAGGCCGATGTTGCTTCTTCTTGACCAGACAGCCCAGAAAGCCCTCTTAGCTGCTTGCTCAAATCTCGGGTCTCCGGTGAGCCGGCTCAGCACGGTGAACTCAAGCACCAAACTACCAGCCCCGGCGCTACAAGTTTCAGTGATTTCTGGCAAGTCCTCTGCCGGCTTTGGATCTAAGCCAGTGTTTCCGTGAAGAGGCGAGTTCACGTAAAACGGTATACCGTGACGGAGGTTGACACGTGGATACGGCAGCCCGGTCTGGGTGTAGAAAGCTGGAAGTAAGCGCTGAGCTAAGTCGAGGGCAAGCCGTAAAAGCTGCCCGTCGTACTTGAGCCCGTTGGGCCAGGGGATAGGATTTTTCTCAAGGTCAAAATCATCATCAGTCGGCTTGCGGGGGCTATAACCAGAAATTGGCAGTTCCCCAACAGCAAATAGATGGGCACTAAGCAGTCCACCAACACCCCTTATTACGGTCTCGAAGACCTGAACCTTGCTATCAACATCAAAGCCACGACCACGTGCGCCTTGTCCTGACGGGCCGGGTCGTCCATCGCCATATTGTGCAACCAACGCAGCAACACCATCTTGGAAATCGCTCAAGGCTTTAGGCCCAGTATTTTTATTATCAGGCGGCGCAGACGCAAGGATCGCGAGGGACGAGAGGCTGTCGATGAGGGTCAAGGTGTAGTTCCCGAGGACGTCATTAAGCGCAATGTTTTTCGGGTTGAGAGGATCTCGAGTTAACGGCGTACAAGACACGGGCCGTAGCTGTGAACTATGAGCTAATGCACATTTCTACTTTGGCAATCAAGCCATTGTGGGGTTTGTATACGTGTTAAACCATACCTCGTCTTCGGGGAACGCAATCTTCATATAATTATCGAACCCGTGGTAGAACATGTCGACCGTCTCCTGCCTCAGCTCCGCAATGCGACTGGGGCGCATCGCCTCTACTACACCTAGCCATGATACCAACAGCGCGAGAAACACGATCAACCTGGTAAAAGAGCCATGACTTGTTGATTTATGGGAGGTGGCCAACGTCCAACTGCCCATGCCTAGCAAGGGCATCACCGGCAGGGGAAGGCAGAAGAATGCATGTGTATGAAGACACGAACCGTGAAGCGACGACTTAACTGGCGAACTTCCAACCGTTCTCGAACCAGCAGAGAAATACGGTAAACAAGTTGAAATATGTCCTACTGGTAAAGGTCGGGACTGCCTTTCCAAGTTTCAAATCGAAGCCAGTAAAGAATGGGGAATGGGAATTGAAACGTGGAGCGTGATCATCAGATGTTACTACGTAGAATGCGATGCATTGCTATAGTGAGGTATGCTGTCATCAAAGGTCGAAATTTAGACGAACCAAAGTTACCTATCATACTAACGAATGCTCTCCAATCACATGCTAGCGAAATGATAAGCTTCTTTGTACCCCTTACCATTAGTGGATTCTAGACCAGCCTGAGGACACGTGCCAGAGTCGGCTTGCAGATTCTTGTAGGTTCTTGTTAGGCTGCTTATGTAATACCATGTAGCTATCGATTAGAAAAAAACCGACGCTAATGTTTTATCGATAATCCCATATGAGGTCTTGTACAACTTCAACGCGGACAACTCCTCCTTACACATTTCCATTCAGGTGTATTCGGAATAGCCTCGACGCTGTACTACTATACAATACTAATACCTGCCGCTATTATTAACGTCATACTTTTCGTCTCACAAGTTGTACCGCTACAAACGGTACAGTGCGCAACTGAATTGTGCGGCCTTCAGCTTTTGCTCTACACAGCATGATACTCTGCGGTTCGTCTCATATAGTCGACATGAGCAAGGCGTGACCTTGTCTAAAGAGCAAGTATGCATGGGGCTTGAAGTTTGGGTTAAATTATTGTCTCAAGCCTCATATTCCGCCGCCGCCAAACTCAAATTTCCACGTGTCTCGGGTTCTAGACGGAGAGCGAAGAATGTCTGCACCCCGTGGTTGCAGACGCGGCTGAGACAATGCTCGCTAGGCTTCTCAGAACGGCGAATAGGTAGGTTTCGAATTACCTTTAACGCTGATCTTAGCTCTGGAATTCTGGTTCATGATACCCGTGGGAAGCCTAGAATCTGTAAGCAAAGAATACATGTATGCAGCATGCACAAATTTCGAAACAGAATGCAGTGTAACTCGCGGAGAAGCATGTACCTCTCTCCCTTACATGCGCACCAGCTTGCTTCGTAGCCGATTGGTGGCCCACTGAGTTGTGCGGTTCATATAAGGTGCGTCCCACTGCCCAGCATGGACGACGCAAGGGATTGTTCTTGGGCGCTAC